TTGGAAGGCAAATTGTTTGACTGTTGTTGGTCATGTGACTCTTGCGAAGTTTGTGATAAGTTCAATTCCTTTATATCCTATGCATGTTGCAAAACTTCTGACTTCAATTCACAGTGAAGTTGAGAGGATATAGAGGAATTTTATCTGAGGAGGTAGCGATGGTCGTAAGGGTTTTCATCCAATTAGTTGGGACAAAATTACCCAACCAAAGCAATATGGCAGCCTGGGTTTAAAGCAATTGTCTTCAGTGAATGATGCTTGTGGAGCGAAATTGACTTGGAAGCTACTTTTGGGGGAAAAGGGTCTCTGGTCAGATGTATTGCAACATAAATATATGCTTTAGGATGACGAGAAGCTACTTGAAGCCAAAAGTGGTGATTCAAACCTATAGAAGTTTATATGTATGCAGGAAGACTTAATTGATAAAGGAATGAGATGGCAAATTAGGAATGGCCAAAATGTAGATTTTTTGATAATTGTTGGCTTATTCCAGGGAAGAAGCTCTGAGAATACCGGTTAAAACCTCTCACTCAAGAAGAAAGGAGTAGCAAGGTTGCAAATTGGTGTTTGAGTGGCCCTTAGGATTATGCTAGAATGAATAGTGTGCTTCCAAATTCTATAATTCAACGCCTGATTTTTGTAAGGCCTCCTTTACGGAAAGCTGTTAATGATGTGATGTCTTGGTCTGCTAACTCTAATGGTTTGTTTACTGTTAAAAGTGCTTATTATATGATTGAGAAATGTCCTGTGGCATATTATAATCCAATCTATAAAGCTATATGGAGATGGAAAGGTGTAGAAAGGATCAGGTTTCATATTTGGCTGCTATTTCATAATAGGCTGGCAATGAATGCTTAAAGGAGCAAGTGGATGTCGTGTTTTGCCTTGTGTGACTGGTGCAATGATGGAGTTGAAGATTTTATTCACGTGGTCCATGATTGCTTATATGCTAAGAGCCTGTGGTTGAGTCTTGCTAAACCAAGTTATCATTCTGAATTTTTCTCCCTGTCTTTGATTGATTAGATTGCTTTGAATTTGAAGAAGAATTTATCTAATGGTGATTATACTAATTGGAGCTTGACATGGGGTGTGGGTGTTTCGAAACTTTAGCTGTGGAGGAATGACCATATTTTTAGGGATGATCATAGTCGACTTCTGATCCTGCTTCTGTTATATTAAAGTTAAGGAGAATTATGTTTTCCTAGTCATTCCTTGGCTAGTTAACAAGAAAATTCCAGGGACTTTGGTCATGATACTTGGTGCCCGCCTCCTAGAGGATGGATGAAGGTAAATGTTGATGGTGCTGTCCATCAAACTGATAAGCAAGTAGGATGTGATGTGCTTTTGAGAGATGATTTAGGTATGTGGATTGTGGGGTTCAGTTATAAACTGGGTAGATGTGAAGTGCATAAAGCAGAGGAATGGGCCATTCTCAAGGGACTGACCACGACATGGGGCAAGGGGTTTAGAAGAATTATTTTAAAATCAGATTCTAAGGGCACCATCGACAGTCTACGGGATGAGTCCAATAGTACCTACATGAGTTTGGTGAAGCTGGAAATCAGAAGTGTGCTGGCATTTACGTGGCAAGTGCAACTTCATCATATATCAAGGAACCATAATCAAGTGGCTGATGCTTTAGCTAAATAAGGAATTCAAAATACTTATATTTTTAGTATGATACCTCAACACTTGAGGGTCCTAGTACACGCTGACAATTTGGAATCTAAATCCCCAGCTTTGTAATTTTTTTCGAGCTTAGTCCCTCTTCTGTATTAAAGAAAAAAAAAAGAAAAAGAAAGAAAGAGCCGTTGTTAGTACTAGTGGCTCTAGTGCGGACAAGGGAAGGATAATTCAGAAATTATCCTTTAATTTTATTAAAGTTTTTGGGACTTAAATAATAAAGGGCTGTCGTAATAGGAAAAATTTAAGAAAAAGATCAAAAAAAGGAAAAAGAAATAATATACATAGATGAATAATGCCAAGGGGTAAAAGTGAGATGAAATGTGAGTAGGGATAAGGAGTCATACCTTCCTAATGTATCAAATAATATAATAATTCATACTATATGCAAGCAATTAAAGCAAAACACTTGCTTCATTTCTCAAATTCTACATAATATACAAAAATGCTTTTAGTTGGAAGGGGGAAAATACACGTTTGAATTGTGTTTAAAATCAAAAGCGAAAATGACGACAACAAAAAGTCCCTTGAAATATGCAAGAAGTCTTGTAAAATGTTATAATTCTCCTAAAGTTCTCAAAGAACTTTTTAACATTGATAAAAAAAAATAACTGCTCTAGCTCAAAAAAAAAAAAATCAGTGACAACTTTAATTTAAGTAATGACTATCTTTCTTCTAGTTAGGACTAGGACGGAACAACCAATTCAACTTCCTCAATGCAAATTTTTAAGTCACTAAAGTCCAACTGTTATAAATATTTGTAACTATTTTAATTTAAACAATGACTACTTTTCTTCTAATAATGACTAAAACAGAACAAGAAATTAATACTATAGTTTAAACTAAGAGTATTTTAGTCATTTCACCAAAAATTATTAATGTCTGAAGGATCTCTAAGGACTTGAGAAAAATTATGACGTTTCACAAAATCTCATTATCATTTGCATATTTTAGGAGATTTTTTCATTTTTCCAAATCAAAATGTCAGATAATTAAGAAACAATTTAATGAGTTCAATGAGTTTAAAGAAATACAACATAATAATGGGATTTCACAGTAATTAAATTGTGTTAGGACAAACAAGTTTCACTTCTATAGTTTCTATGTCTTGAAAGGGATTAGTTCTTATCTGTCGATTTGAAGATACTCTTAGCACACACTAAAAAGATTCTTCCAAGGGAGCTTTTGGTACTTCTGCTCAATATTTTAAAAGTAATGCATATCTGGCATTTCTAATTTATTTACTTAATATTAGAATGTCACAAAAAAAAAGAGTGACATTTCTATTTTTTTAAAAAAAATTATGAAACATGTGAAAAAAATTTACTATTTATTTACTTTTAACTTGAAAGATTTCTGGTCAATTCAACTGCATATCATGAACCTTCACATTCTTCCAACTTACAAGTGTGGCAATTTGAATTAAGCGGAAAATAGTATTTTTTTTTTTTGTAATCAGAAAATAATAATTTATATACATTTTTTTAATTTTCAAAAATATAAATTTTATCTTCAAAAATGTCTACTTTAGATTTATTTACCTTTTTTCTAAAATACTTTTATTAACAATTAGTAAAAAATCAAATATTAGAATATGTATTATGATCAAACATGTAGAAAATAAAAAGAGTATGATAATAAAGAAAAGATTATGTTTTCTTCTCAAATAAATATAAATAAATAATTTTAATTTATTATCATTAAAATTAACCAAAAAAAATATGTAGGAAGAATTTCAATTAAGGATTAGGGATGTGACTTAATTATAAGTAAGTTCAAAAAAAAAATTAAAACTTCAGTTCAATCCAAAAGGATTAAAGTGAAAATAACTTCAACAATAAAGAAATCAAAGTATCATTCACTTATTAATTTTGTCTAAGATATAGAATCATTAGTTATTAATTTTCTTACATCACTTGTTAATTTATCAATATAAGTTATAAATTACATGAATTGATCTGTCAATAATCATATAAGACTTAAACATAAGTTGTTCAATCATGAACAGCAATACTAGTTATCAACTTGCTAACTTTTTTTGTTAATTTATTAATATCAGTTATAAATTACTAACAAATCTTGTAATTTACAACTGATATTGCTGTTTGTCTAACAAACTAAGAGAACCCGTTTGAATTTCAGTTGAGTATAATTGATTATGAAAATAATTGATTAATATATTTAGTTTTAATTATAATTGATTATGTTATAACGCAATATGTCTGGATACTATTTTTCTAAAATTAATTTTAATAGAATTAAAGATATTTGAATAATTTAGTCAGAATCAATTTTAACTATGCAAATTACCATAAAACACATTACTTTTTAAAATTAAATTATTGATACACTTGTATCTAATATTATTAAATTTGTTAAATTTTATTTAACACAAAAATGAATTATTGACAAATTATTTATCATTAATATGGTAAAATGAGAATTAGATAAGTAGGTATAGATAGCTTAACAACAACAACAAAAAATCGATTTTAACCTCATTAATTGATTATTTCATGTATATGCTGTTTGAGTAATTTTCTTTTAAAAATCAATTTCCTTCCAAAAAAATCAATTTTGGTGACAAACCAAACAAGCAGTAATGGAATTTACAACTCATACTAATAAATTAATAAGTAAAGCAAGAAAATTAATAATTATTAATTCTACATTTCAGACAAAATCAACAAGAGTGCTTTAGTTTTTTTTTACTATTGAAATTATTTCCACTTTGATCCTCTTGAACTAAACTGAAGTTTCAAATTTTTTTGAGACCCACTAATAATTAAGTCATCTTTGGTCCTCAGTTGAAATTCTCCCAAATATGTATTTGAGTTGTTAAAAGAAATATTTATTATAATTAATAATTAAATTAAATTGTAATTTAACTTTTGATAAAAGTGTCACGTACTTTAAAAGCAAAAAATATTCACACAGTTTAGGAAAACAAACTTTAAAATCTTATAGTTAACTTTAAATTAATGGTTTATATGAACTTGAATCTCCTCCCTATCATGATCAGCGAATAGCAACACCCCATTTCCCTAAAGACTATATTGACAAAAAAGAGATGAATTGTTGCTATAAATAGAATAATATCAGTCACCCAAGCTTCAAATAAAGGAATTTTTGTAATTAACAAACTTAAGGTAACTCTGATTTAACGTAAAACAAGTCACTGCCCGTTCTTTCAGCCTTGTGTTTCTCTAACTTTGTCCAAAATTTAGATAATTACTGTTGATCCTAATGTCATGCTCAAGAACCTCCCCCTTTAAATATGAAGCATCTCATTGTTTGATGGGATAAGCTAACTCGTGAATCAGTTCATTAATTGCCAAAAAGAGAGTTCCATAATTATTTGGCTTTGGCTGGAGTTGGCTTCAGGGATTTGGGGTAGAGAATTGTTAATAAACCTGAGGCCACTCTCAGCCTTTTGCAGGTCAAAAGGTTGGAACAAAAAAAAATTATATGGGAAAAATAAACAGAAATAGTCCCTTATTTTCTTTCTTTTTCTTGATCTATTGGGTAGCCATTCCTACCCTCCATGCAAATGTGTTAGAGAATGAAACGTATTGGAAAGGGCATGCCAGTGAATTTGATCAGTATTGGCATGAAAGAGCCAACGAAGCTGAAAAAGTCAACAAGGAAGAATTTCAACCTAACCCCTATGATGTCGTAGGCAACCTCACCGCTAGTGTTGATAGGTAAGGTTTATGATGTCAGTTAGACCAAACCAATTATCAAGATCTGAATAAACTCACAAGGAAAATGTTTAATCACACCTCTTCGTGATCAATTAGAAGTCATCCCAGACCAAAATGAACTTTCATGGAACTTTTGAATAATAAGCTGACTTCTGTTGTTGCTCACAAACAGAATGCTGCTTAGCACAGGGGATGAAGGGAGGAACTTGAGACAGCGTATTGGCCTTCATGAAGGTCCATGCTTGGCAACCAATCCAATTGACAGGTGCTGGAGATGCGATCCCAACTGGGCGAACAACCGCCAGAAGTTGGCTGATTGTGCACTAGGCTTTGGGAAAGGCACAACTGGTGGAAAGGGTGGTCGTTACTATGTGGTAACAGATCCCTCAGATAATGATATGCTTAATCCCAAAGAAGGTACCCTTAGGCATGCAGTTACAAGGAACGGTCCTTTGTGGATTATCTTTCAACGCAGCATGGTGATTAAGCTGCAGCAGGAGCTGATTATGAGTGGGGATAAGACCATTGATGGCAGAGGAGCTAATGTTATAATCACCGGAGGGGCTGGCATTACCATCCAGTTTGTCAAGAATGTGATCATTCATAACATTAAGATCTTCAACATAGTGTCTACCAGTGGTGGACTGATTAGAGATAGCGAAGACCATTTTGGTTTGAGGACAAGGAGCGATGGTGATGGTATTTCAATCTTTGGCTCCAGCAAAATCTGGATTGATCATGTCTCCATGAGCAATTGCCAAGATGGACTCATAGATGCCATTATGGGATCCACTGCCATCACCATCTCCAACGGCCATTTCACAAAGCACAATGAGGTAAATCAAATTGGGATGTCTTTTCCCTAACTGGGTTTGGAAATGAAACACCATTTCCTGAACATTTTTTGGCGCCGTATGATGCAGGTGATGTTGTTTGGCGCCAGTGACAGCTATGCAGGAGACCAGATTATGCAAATCACAGTGGCATTCAATCACTTTGGTCAGGGACTAATCCAAAGGATGCCGAGATGCAGGTGGGGTTTCGTTCATGTGGTTAACAATGACTACACTCATTGGGAAATGTACGCCATTGGTGGCAGCCAGCATCCTACCATCATCAGTGAGGGTAACAGATTCATAGCCCCGAATAACATGTTTGCCAAAGAGGTATGCATTCACATACATATATATATATTAAACATCCATCTATGTTAAAAAAGCTTTTAAGACCCGTTGATCAGTCTATTCTGCACCAGTTAAATATCTCAAACTATGTTATGAACTCAACAAGTTTCTTTTGGGCAATCCATCAAACACCCGATATGCGTGTTTACGGGGTTAAAATTGGTGATGTGTGTTGGTGAAGGTGTGCAAGAGAGAGTACTCACCACAGGAAGTGTGGAAGAACTGGCAATGGAGATCAATCAACGACCTCCTCATGAACGGAGCGACGTTCGCAGAATCTGGGACTCAGCTTCCGGTGGGGACGCGTGACATGCTCAAGGGCAAGCCTGGATCATACGTCTCAAGACTCACACGCTTTTCCGGAATGCTCAAGTGCAGAGTGGGTCGGCCCTGCTAATTAACCTCCGCCATATTTGAATGTCTCTGCAGCGAGCAGCTTTGGCAAATGAGACCAAGACGAAGAAGAAGAAAGAGCAGGCAAGGCGGAGCTCACCGAACTGTGATCGATCCTCTATATAGTGTCTAATTTTGTTGCCCCTAGTTTTTTTTACTTAGCAAAAAAAAAAAAAAAAAAAGAAATATGTGAATTGAAAATTTTAACAACTGGGCTCTCACATCACACCATCTCTACCTTGTACTATCTATCTATATTCACGTCTACATTGAACACCCTTATCACAATATGATTTTTATGATATTGAAATTATATATGTGGCATCCGTGTGTGATGAGAAGAAGATAGATGATAGTTTCGTTTTTGTCACCTTACAGTACATCGTGTGTATCCCTTTGTTTCCCTCTTTCTCTTCCAATTTTGTCTTTTTGTAGAGATTGAAAGTTGAGACAACAATAAAAGCTTCAATTTGCTGCAATATGCACAAGCTCTTCATTTAAATTGCCATCAGAAATATAATCCAGATTCCAGAGGGATTCGAAAATAGAGGGAAAATGAAACTGTATTAACCAAGGAAAGCTAGAACGAGATAAGAGTTAGTTCTTAGTTGACTTTCATAACTCGTATGGACGCTGTGTGTCAGTGTTAATGTTAAAACTTCTTTCACGAGTCTGGGCTGGGAATTAGCAAAGAGACTTTTGTTTCTAGCTTCCACGTCTAGTGATGAGTGCCACAGAGGCTTTCATTAGCAAAGAGTAATCATATCCAATAAGCCAGTGTTTTATAGTAAAATTTCTCTTTAAACTTGTATTTGTAATATTGGTTTTTATTAAGAAAAATTGATAATTAAGACCTTTAAGGATATTAATCTCAATAAAGGATAATAAAAATTTAAAATTTAATGACTTACAATATTTTATTAAATTTATTGACATTTTTAATGTAATTAAAAGTCATTTATTTAAATTTTGTTTGTAAAAATATGACTAAGTGAATGAATGTGTGTGAAAATGAGCTTGAAAATATGTTAGAAGTTAGTGGATCAATTCTATCATTTATTTTAAGTTTCATGCATGTAGGGATGCCCTATCTACGAGCCCAAAGAAAAAAATTTTGGAGCTCATGTTAAAGGAATTCAATCTAAAAAAAAAATCTAAATAGGTCATGTTCGTTTAGCTGCAACAAAGTGTGATTTTAGTAAACGAACAGTTTTGACTCTCAGCAGGGCTTGGGTGTAACATCCTAATTTTTTATATAATAAAGAAATTATGGAATTTAAGTTTTGAGAAAAAAATGATAATAATAGGAATTTATATTATTTGAGGTTATTTAGAAATAATATTATGGTTAGGTATTTAATTATGAATTTAAAAATTTAAATTTAAAACTACATAAGCAATATTTAGTTAAGATATAATGTATAAATAATTTTTTTATGTATGTGTTAAAAAAAAGAGAAGGAAGAAGGAATAAAAAAAAAGAGAGGGTGGAAGGTTGTTGTTTTTAAGTCCCACATTGGTTAGATGAGAGAAGAGATGAGGTGCCTTCGTGTATAAAAAGGAGGGGGTGTGTGCATTAGGAAGCATGAGAGGCTAAGATACAATTTAGAAGAAATTGCAACTTATGGCCCAAAGGTTTGAATAATTAAATTTAGATCTATATTTTTTTTAAATATAATTTTGGGACCCAAAATCTCATTTTTATATTATTTTTCTCTCTTCCTCTCACGTTGCTCGACGTTTTCTCGTAAGGGGGGATTATTTTCTTTTTCTTCAGGTATGTTCTAACTTTCCTGTTTAGATTAGCATTTAAAAATTTATTTAATTATAAAATTAATTTTATAGTTATTTTCTAAATAATATTAGCTTTCTAGTGATATGATTATTTTGTAGGATAAAGTAAATATTTTGATTAAGATTTTTCTATAGGATAGTTAATCTAATGATATGATGAATTAAAAATATAGGTTAAAACTCTTAGGGATATAATAAATATTATAGAATATTTTTTTGAGGTTGAAACTCATGTTTAAGAATTTTTGAGTTAAAATCTAAATTTATATGGTTGAATTTACGTGGAATCTGAGATGTAGAGATGAACCTCTGATTATTACATATTTATTAAGTATGAATAGGTATTTTTGATGTTATAGAAAGGTGATTTGAGGCTTCAGGATAATTCTAAAATTTTTAATTTATTTTTGGACGAATTTTTAGAATATAGAAGGATGAAATTGTGATACTAGAAGTGATTTGAGGATAAAAAAATAGTTTATTAGGGTACGAAAATTTTAGAAAAGAATTTGGAAAGTTAAATGAGGCATAAATCTTAAATTAGTGTTAATATGGATTATAGATATAAGACTTTCTAACTCTTTAAATTAGAGTTATTTATTTTAATGTAAAATTAATATATAGTATTATGAAATAATTATGTAGATTGTGTTGACAAAGATAGTGGTGAAAGAGGAGTTGTGAAGGGGAACTTGTTATTCAAGACACAAGGTAACCATTATTAATGTGCTGTGATGGGTGTGTTTGTGAATGATTATGTGTTGTTTTATTGTTTGGAAAAAATTATGAATTATTGAAAATAAATACTGTATATACTTGTTTGAAATTATTGCCAAGTGGGTTAAAAATTTATTTTTATTTATCATGATGAGATATTATTGTTCGGATATATTTTTGTTTGGATATTTGAATGATGCATGACTTGTCAGGGTATTTTAATGTATTGTGTTAATGAGAATTTCTGTTCGGTTAATTATTACCACGTGGTAAGCCCTCATTAGACCCAATGAGTGGCGTGTCACTTGGTCCAACTCACCTTTGGCCGGGTGATTTAGCGTCCGAGCATGGCGAAAGGAGGATATAAGGTGTAATCATGCAAATTAAATACTTGTTCGATTTGTTTGGAAATATTGTTCGGTTAAATATTTTGTGTGCCCACTTAGCAATCGCATGATTAGTTACAACCGCATGCATCATTACATATTAATTTTTTGTTACTGGGACTTTTAAGTCTCATTCCCCGTGGTTAATATTTTTACAGGAGCGGGTCCGGCTGAAAAAGCACCAGAGGTGTAATTATGGTGTATGAGACACCATCTTTTACGTTGCCTCTTATTTTGGATTATACAGTGTATCTTGTGCCAACTTAGGACATATCTTCTTTGTGGAGCATGTAAACTCTAATCCTTTTTATTAAATGCATTTATATGTTCAAGAGGATTATGTCTGTCCCTTTTAATTTATGACCTGATTTGAATAACATGCTATGAGGATCATGTCTGTCCCTCATGGTTCTAATTGTTTTTTGAGATATTTTAAGACCTGTGGTATATTGTCTTGAATGTATCATGGTAGAAATTTTTCTACCATGATAAGGGTATGATAAGGGTTCAATGAAAAAAAAAATGATTTGTTGAATTAATAATTTGTGAAAAATCGGTTTGTAAATTTGAGGGTGTTACATTGGGCACCTCATTTTTGTGCGTTCTTCACTTCCAGCAGTTGCAGAACGTTCAAGAAGAGGAAAAAGAGCCAAAGAAGGGTTGGACAAACTTGGGTTTGATGAAAAATCAAGGGTTTTGCTCAAAATTGATCCGATTAAGTTTTTCTTCTCTTTCTTCTCTTTACTTTACTGTATATATTGTTGATTTTACTGTCATGGAAGTTGTGTGGCTGGTTTTCTCTTAATTGAGGATAGTTATGAACTGATTTTTAGATTAGAGCATGTTTGAACCATTTATTTGAGCTTAATATTAGTTTTATTTACTTAATCTTGTGCTTATTTGTTTATTTAATGCTTAGCCACCATTGAGTATGAATTTGGAGGTTTAGGTTTTAGCTTAAAAGAAAAAAATCTGAATTTGACCATTAAATTGAGTAATGTAATATTAGAATTTATTTTAATTTGCCAATAGGATAGGAATATACCTATTGGATTCATATAATCACATTAAAGTGAATTTGTGCCATTTTTTTTCTTGGGTGATTGTGTTAGAAGTACAAAGTTAATTCAAGAGAGGTGTGTAATTAATTGAAAGATAATTATTCCCATTAATACTCTAGATTAACAAATAAATATTAAATGAATTTATTTAGATTAACCACCCTAAGTTGCCTTAATTATTTATGGTTGTTGGAATTTTAATTTTAGTGCATTTTTCTAATTTCAATCCTTATTTTGCAAAAATTAAATCCATGTCTTGCTTTGCTTAACTTAAATGAAAATGAAAACTTTATTGCCTAATTACCAATTAACTTGATTCTCTGTGGGATCGACCTTGATTTATCATGTACTATTTTTACGACCCATACACTTGCGGAATTCGTTACATATTTGTGAGCATCAAAATTTCATGGTCTTTAATTGAGATACAAAAATATAGTTTGTCTTAAATGCCTCTAAGAAAAGAAAAAAACTCCCAATTATGTTGAAATTCCAATTATGTTGTTTTTACAATATAAGTTAGCAATTTTTCAATGTCGGGTTAGTAAATTCTCAAGTGGTGTTAGTGAATCTCATCTCACATTAGTGGATCCCAATTTGAATAAGTCACTTTTTATTAAATAATCAATTCTCAAGTGGGGTTTCATGTTTTCATAATATACCTTAATAATTTTTTCAAGTCATATTAGTGAATTCTCGAGTGGTATTAGTGAATCCTACCTCACGTTAATGGATCTTAATTTGGACAAGTCACTTTTTATTAAATAATTAATTTCTAAGTAGGGTTTTATTTTTTCATAATATATATTAAAAATTTTCCCAAGTCAGGTTAGTTAATTCCCAAGGCACATTAGTGGATTCCAATTTGGACATTATTTTTTTTAAACAATTGATTCTCAAGTATGATTTCATGTTTTCACAATGTACGATAGCAATTTCCCCATGCCATGTTAGTATTAGCTATAAGTGGTCTTCCTTATATATTGACAAGTATTGAATTTTACAAGTCACATTTGTATTCATATTTTTCATTGAAGTTAGTGATTTCTCAAGTAATATTTTTATGTTATGATAGCATTTACACTTCAAAGTCTAAAATACTAGAGAAAAATCCATTCCAAGGTGGGGGTCTATATTTTCACTAGTTACAGTAACAATATTCATGATTGTCGTTAGAAATATGGTGACCAATACTAGAGCAGACTTGTCACAGTGATTGATGCAAGCTGAGGAATGACAAAATGCGAGAATGAAGGAAAACGAGAAAGAAGAAAGGAGATGTCGTGAAAGAAAGCAAGAACAACTAGGGCTATGATGAGTAATTTCATTTTTTTTCTCAAGGGCATTTAACAAACTATA